GATACCGAAGGTTACATTTTTAAATTTTAAGTTAATTTTAATTGAAATTTGAATTTAAATGTTCATATCTCCGCTTCTACTGGGAATTGAGAGTCGAGATTTATGGTGAGAATAGGGTTGATACAGGACTATATTGAGGCAAAAGCGCGTTCCTGTATCTTGAGCCGTTTAGGAGATACCGAAGGTTACATTTTTAAATTTTAAGTTAATTTTAATTGAAATTTGAATTTAAATGTTCATTCTCCGCTTCTACTGGGAATTGAGAGTCGGATTTTATGGTGAGAATGGGTTGAATACAGGACTATATTGGAGGCAAAAGCGCGTTCCTGTATCTTGAGCCGTTTAGGAGATACCGTTACAGGATTCGATAATCTGCAAGGCACCTGAAACATAAAATGTGATATTCTCGAACAGCGTTCCTCTCAGGATTTTCTTGTCCAAAGAAAGATCAATGATGCGATCGCAGATCTCGTGTATGTCATGTCAATAGAGACAGTTTGAATTCGGCGTAATATGATTCTTGGAACAGACGTAAATAAGTATTGTGAAGTTTGAAGCGAGTCTCTCACAGGCATGCTTTGAAAACACGAGTTGTTTTCATTTTCAGCTAACGGACGACGCAGGCATCAACACTGATCGGCAAGGTGGGGGGTAACCGTGCCTTCCCGATTGTTTGTTTCGTACGCTTATTATGACTCCGTGATTGCGGAAAGGACATTGCGCCTCGGGCCGACGAACGACGCGCATACCGCGACGCAGAGTAGAGAGTATCGGTTAATACGCGTTTCTTTGTCCGAATCTTACTTGCGCGAGTGTTAGAGCTAGAGTCAGTGTCGTCGCCAGTGCTACGATGGAGTATCCGGGGGTGCTGCGACGGAGTAACCAGAAGGAGGACGTCGGATCGAGAAGTCAGGATGGAGAGAGGACTTGGAGCGCGCCGAGAGACGTGGAGGACAGCGATACATCATGTATGGTATTCGAGGTACCTCGAGTAATTATTATTACGCAGGATTTTTCTGATTTTAACGGACCTTACTCGAAGTAAGGACATACCCGAGTCGAAATTAGATCAGCATTCATAGTTTATCATCTGAAAAATGATAAAATAGCTTGAGATTTGATTATTCGTTAACCTAATTTCACGTAACATGAGTTCTACTTTTCTTTTCTCATAAAATATGAATGTCTATTCAAGCAAGGTTGCTGAGGCAAGCTAAGGTTTATGAATACAAATTTTTAATTATGTTCTCAATAAAAAGTTGCACATAATTTAGAAAACTATGAATAATGATCTTAGAATCTGATATAAATTTTACAAGTGTTGATTTTTATTCGTCTAATAATGCTCAGATTGCTGTTTTCGTTTAGAATCTGCTAGAATGTCCGTTTCTCATTCTTGTTTATCTTTCTTATTGTACCGAATCTGAATTAAAATCTCTATTAGTGAAACAGCATTATAGTTAGACGTTGTGCCTTTGCAGCTTCAGCTCTTTTGAGAGCTACAATTCTCATCATTCTCATTAGAAAAAAGAAAAGAAAAAAAAGAGAAGAAAAAAGGAAAAAAGAACTTTAAGAATGATGAGAATAAAAAGTGTTTTTCATCTCCCATTTCCTCTAATTCTTATATGATTATTTAATCCTTATATATTTATCTCACGCGCAGTTCTAACAAAGGCAGTTCTATTTACGTTTTTATCTTTGTTCTCTTTCTTGCGCTGTTAAGCGAATATATAATATCAACAAAAATCATTTAAATTAAGAATATAAGGATTAAGTATATATACATTATCGAGATAAACGAGTATTAAATAACTGCGGAATACGTCGCTGTTGAAGCTCATCATGGGCGAGACTGCGAGAGTAGCCAGATGTAACGTTCAGGTAGGACAAAGCTTGTTCACTATTGCGCATCTAGATATTCTGCATTGATTTTTCAAATTGGATGCAATTTGCAGGATCAATGTAGAATTAATATTTCGACTCGGGAAAGACTTTTTCTTTATCAAATCCTAACTTGTAGAAAATTATCGATTTGAATGTCGGCAAGAAAAAAACGGAGATACTTTTGTTAGATATTTGACAAAACGCCGGATCGGTATTTATCCAACGCTTAAAAAATAACACGGAGAACGTTTTAGTTGGATGAATAAATTTTCGTTACTTTCCGCTTGCGGTTTTCGATCGTTAGTGGCGATTCAGGGACAAAGAGAGGAGAGCGAGAAAGAGAGAGAAACATCTTGCCAGGATTTCTGCAGGTCCATTTCGACAGATTCGGTATTAAAATATTAGACGTAGAAAAAGTAAGAATGAAAATAAATTTTTTATATTAGTTAGTACAGAAAGTCCGACGTACTTTTGTCAAATAGAGATGAGTATCAAATTTTCGACAAGTTAGGACTAGGATAGAGAAAACGTAAAATCTTTTGCGACAATGGAATTAAACAGCAATATAAATTTTGATTTACGATATTAATCGGTATTCGATTTCCTGTTCTGATTTACCTTTTCATTTCTCTATAACAGAAGAAAAAATTAATACGAATCGTTCGTTTATATATCCGAGTTAATTTGTTGAATAAATTAGAGGGGCAAGTACCTGAAAAATGAGAACGAATTGTCATTGCACTTGGACAATCTTCTGACACTGATTTATGGTATTGATCGATATTCGATTTTCGGTACTGATTTACTTTATCATTTCTCTACAAGAAAAAAAATGGATGCGACTCGTTCATTTATCCGCGTTAATTTGATGAATAAATTAAATATTGATCGGTCTTCAATTTTCAGTACTGATTCTCTCATTTCTTTATAAGATAAGAAAAATTGATACGAATCATTCGTTTATTCGAGTTAATTTGTTGAGTAAATTAGATGGATAAATACCTGAAGAATGAGAACAAATTGTCATTGTACTTGGACAATTTTCTGACACTGATTTACGATATTGATCGATATTCGATTTTCGGTACTGATTTAATCTTTCATTCTCTATAAGAAAAAAATTCATACGAATCGTTTATTTATCCGCGTTACCTTGATGAATAAATTAAATATTGATCAGTCTTCAATTTTCGGTACTGACTGATTCTCTAATTTCTTTATAATAGAATAAAAATTGATACGAAACGTTCTTTTATCCGACTTAATTTGTTCAGTAAATTAGTGGGGTAAGTACATGCAAGATGAAAACAACTTGTCATTGCATTTGGACAATTTTCTTGACATTTTTTAATGATATTGATCAGTCTTCAGTTTTCGGTACTGATTTATTTTCTCATTTTTTTATCAGACAAGAAAAATTGATACGAATCGTTCGTTTATCTGAGTTTATCTGAGTATCTTTGTTGAATAGGATTAGAGGGGTATGTACCTGAAAAATAAGAACAAATTGTCATGGCACTTGGACAATTTTCTGACACTGATTTATGATATTAATCAATATTCAATTTTCGGTACTGATTTACTTTTTCATTGTACAATAAGAAAGAAAAAATTGATACGAATCGTTCATTTATCTGCGTTAATTTGATGAATAAATTAAATATTGATCGTGCACGATGGGGGGGAGAGGGAGAGAGATGGGTATAGGTGATAGAATGATACTAGGAGAGGGGGATGAGAGAGGGGGAGGAGTGGAGGGGGCGAGAAGGAGGAGGAGGAGGTATAAAGGGATGAGAGAGAGAGGGGGGAGAGGGGAGAGAGAGAGAAGGAGAGAGAGAGAGGGAGAGGGAGAAGGGGAGAGAGAAAGAGAGAGAGAGAGAGAGAGTATCGATTTTCGATACTGATTTACTCTTTTATTGCTCTATAAGAGAAGGAAAAATTGATACGAATCGTTCATTTATCCGCGTTAATTTTTTTTTCCTTTATTATATATAAGTGGTCCATGGGACGATTAAATATTCGAATACATGTTGCCGTATCAAAGTCTCCTCTATAATAAACGATTTGATACGTCTGAAGACGCATGATGTATCGTTGCCCGCATCGCATTCCCTTCTTCCTGCTTCCCTGTATAAAATGTCGAATTGAAACGTATTAAAAAGTATTGACATTTTGAATATGTCTGAATTCTGAATCTTTTTGACCCGAAGAAAAGGATTGAAAAGTATTAGTTTCCATTAAATTTTACTGCGCTAAATGCGAGACGGTCTCTTTCGCCCGGTGCCTCACCAGAGAAATTTCTCTGGTGCGCTAAATCCCGTCCATCAGGCCATCAGTCTTTGTAGTATATCTCGTCGGTGCATAAGGTTTATATTATTTGTACATACATATTTTGAAACATTTTCTTTGGATATTATATCAAACGGATTTTGCGTGTCACGTAATATCCTTAATTCGGACTACACGGACATTATTATTTTGATCATTTTGATTTCTTTGGTATTCATTGAATTATCCAGGACGTGCAACTGCCATGTTGAGCGACTCAATTGTCGTGTGAAATATTTCGATTTTCACAAATTCATATAAAATTTTTCATTTTTCACTGATTCACAGAAGTCTTTCACTTTTTACTAGTTCACGCTAGGGAAAAGATTCATGATCGATGCCCGAGCAGCTGCAACGCTTTTCGAATCATCTATGTCGGCGCGCTTTTACTCCTCAGATTTCTGTCATTAATAACTCGATAATTATTGCGAATCTCGCAAAATGGTGTGGGACTTTTATGTTTGTCTTAACCCAATCTACCCTTACACTTCGGGTTGGCAGTTAATTACCGGACACTTCGTATGATCTTCATGATATTAATCATACACAATGTCAATTCTTTTTTTTGCACATGTTAATATGTTAATTCATGTTATAAACGCGTAACAAAGTGCGAGACCGTGCTTGTCAAGTACGTCATGGTTACGTACGTTATGGTTGTAGCTTGGACATAAACCGCCTAAAAATGGATGTAGCACGGACTGCCACCACATACAGGTTTTACTGCCGAAACCTGAAAGTGGATGTAGCCTCGTAGTTATCCTCTCAAAATGGATGCAGATGGCGCCCTTTCCCAGTGCGGAAATTCGGTCGAAAACACTGTGTTAGCCGTTCTTAGGTTCCTATTTGGAATAAGTGATTTATAGTAAATTTGAGAAACAAACATGTCTTTAGCAGACGAGCTTCTTGCTGATCTTGAAGAAAATGATGACTCTGACGTTCCTATGGAAGAACCGGAGCCGAAGTTTATCCCGACTTCGGTATCCAAAGTCATAGAAGAAGGTTAGGTTTAAGATATTTCACAATTTTATTTTACATTTTATCAAGAGAAATTAATTATCAATGTTACACATTCAAAATAAAATTTTATAGTTCGTTATTTCTCCTTGCAGAAATAAAAGTAGCCTCTGTGCGAGAGTTAGCTAAGTTACGAGACTCAGAACAGTTGCAGAAAGTGATATCACAGATTGAAAAGTACAGCAAAGTACCCAGAAAGTCAGCCGATATTATAGGACCTGTAGAATCAGATCCAGAATATCAGTTGATAGTTGAAGCTAATAATATGGCTGTAGACATTGATGATGAAATAGGTAAGTAACTGTAGTTGATTATGTATATACTTTTCCTTTATGAACTAATAAATACTAACTGATATTTTTCAGCTACTATTCATAGATTTACAAGAGATAAGTATTCAAAAAGGTTCCCAGAATTGGAATCTTTGGTAGTAGGACCATTAGAATATGTAATGACCGTTAGGGAATTGGGCAATGATTTGGACAGGGCAAAAAATAATGAGATTTTGCAACAGTTTCTTACACAGGCAACAATTATGGTAGTATCTGTGACTGCATCAACAACTCAAGGGTAATTTTCAAATATTAATCTTTATAATTATTGTATATAAATATTTGTGTATGAGTATATGTAAATATATAAATTTTACTTCTACCATTATATATATATCTGTACATTTATATTATAGCCAGTTGCTGACAGAAGAAGAAAAGGAAGCTATTTGTGAAGCATGTGACATGGCAGTAGAATTGAATAATTGTAAATTAAAGATATTTGAATATGTAGAAAGTAGAATGGCATTTATTGCACCAAATCTGTCGATAATTGTCGGTGCATCGACGGCTGCTAAGATTATGGGTATGTAAAATTATATCACACGAATTGAAATACAAAATTTTTATTGTATGATATTTTTTTTATTCAGGTGTCGCAGGTGGTCTGACAAAACTTTCCAAGATGCCAGCGTGTAATGTTCTAGTCCTGGGATCCCAGAAAACCACACTCTCTGGATTTTCGCAAGTCACCACTCTGCCTCATACAGGCTTCATATACTATTCTGATATTGTACAAGAGACACCTCCTGTAAGATTATCTTTTGTATAATAAGTATAACGAAGAAATCCTAAAAACTAACATAACGACGTTGCAGGATTTGCGGCGGAAAGCGGCAAGACTGGTAGCTGCTAAAAGCATGTTGGCAGCCAGAGTGGATGCCTGCCATGAGAGCACGGACGGCCACGTCGGACAGATGCTGCGCGAGGAGATTGAGAAGAAGCTGGACAAGTTGCAGGAGCCACCGCCCGTGAAGTTCGTGAAGCCGCTGCCGAAGCCAATCGACCCTGGCCGGAAGAAACGTGGTGGCAAACGCGTCCGTAAGATGAAGGAACGTTATGCGATTACGGAATTCAGGAAACACGCCAACAGGATGAATTTCGCGGACGTAAGTTATTGCAACGTACAATCATGTACATTAAATTCTTTGCATTTTGCGATATTTAACAATGGCTAAGAGACACGTTTGTTTAACTGCAGATCGAGAATGACGCTTATCAAGAGGACCTGGGCTACTCGCGAGGTACAATCGGCAAGGCCGGCACGGGGCGAATCAGGTTACCACAGATCGACGAGAAGACGAAGGTCAGAATATCAAAGACATTGCAGAAGAATCTGCAGAAGCAGCAGCAATGGGGAGGCAGTACCACCGTCAAGAAACAAGTCTCTGGCACCGCCTCCAGTGTAGCTTTTACTCCTTTACAGGTTCATATCTATGATTCTTTAAACAGTAATTATGTAATGTAAAATGTAACTAAGATAACACGTTCAAAACTTTATTTTTATTATGACGACTTGCAGGGTCTCGAAATTGTCAATCCACAAGCTGCGGAGAAAAAGGTGAACGAGGCAAACGCAAAATACTTCTCCAATACAGCCGGTTTCCTGAAAGTCAAGAAAACGTAGAGAAGAAATGTCTAATGTAAAAATAAGCAAGAGGAAATCATTGTGTATTTATTATCCTGACTATATGAATTTAGGTACTCAGTTATCTTTTTTATTCTTAGCGCGCGTGCGCGTGTAGTTTTTAATTATTTATATTAGTCTGGTAAAACAAGCGTGGAGGAAACGGATGAGATGTGTGAAAAGAGAGATAGGTAATTACGAAAGGAACGTATGTTGATATAATTCCACGTCCTGTTCTTTAATCATCTTCAATAAATATCTCGACGTTGTCATCGACCACTTCGTTCGTTTCCTTCAAAACGGGTTTGATCATCGACTCGTACCACTCTGTTTCTGCCTTCGCCAAGCACCGACGTCTACGAGTAAACGCGTTATTAAAGATTGATTAAAAGAAGAACGAATAAGATGATTATTAATTTGTCTTGATGCTCACATATTACTGTAGTTATCCCGCGGTTTTCTCGTGGGATTCCAACCAGACACTGGCTTCTCATTGGCTAACATCAAGCCGCGAATGCAGTACAGAAGCGCAACTTTACCTAAGTTACGATCCTGTAGAAAAATTGAAAATTCAAGAGGACATTTAAAGCAGCAAATTCGACGTTCCAATTAAACTCACCCGCCATTCGGAATTCAAAACGTCACCTAAGCTTAAGATATCAGAGGCCATCGTGGCTTCCTCTATAGTTCTTATAGTGTTCAGATAATTTTCTTGAAGAAATTGAACGAATATCACCGCTTGCGACTGGAAGAAGCCGGTTATCTCTTCGGGATCATGTGCAAACTTGCACGGATTATCTGGGTCCCCTAGAATTACAAGTTGCAGTCGATTCACAAAAAGTAAAAAAATACAATTCGATCTGCAAGTCGAAGTGTAAAATTGAATTACTTTTTGGATTAATGACCCTTCCGACGCCATGCAGCAAACCCAAGGTTTCCTCCCGTACTCCACACTCGTTCTTCGACCATCGTTCAGGCACTAACAACCGTAAAAATAATGCCGAGAAGTTCTCTGAGGTTGATCGTTTTAATTTATAAGGAATATACCTCTGAGAGAAATAAAAATAAGATTTAACATGGCACTGCGTACATCGCCGATACTATTGGACAACGTCTCGTCGATGTGCTGCTGGGAAATATGCAGCATGTCGCTGGCGATGGAGTTCAGTATACCGGACACGCGTTTCATCACGTTTTTCATCGCCGTCTGTGTGACCGCGTTCACGCTACACCGATAAATCATAATTACGATTGAAATTATATGTACATGTGAAATTATATATAGTAGATTGATAATCTTTAATTACCAAGTCCACCAAGAAGGATGACGATTTACTCACTTAATGAAATCAATACCAAACTTTTCTCTTATAGTTGGAGCAAACAAGGTCTGCACCAGCCTTGAGTTACTAGCCTCCGTGCACACGAATATTATAGGCTCCCTACCTATTTGGAAATATTTTCTACAAGAAGATACTCGTCAAAAATGTCACAAACTCTGAAAAAGTTTAAATAGCTGCGTTAAATGATTTATATAAAATATTACTTACTCCAGAAGTGAGAAGAAACTTTTGTGGTCCTCTTGATAGACATTTGGAAGGTCTTTAATGAGAAGTAACTGCTTGGAACACGTACCGAGTACTGTGTGATACCGTGTCGCGCGAATTAAATGGTCCTCAAACCGGTCTCCTTGTCGCATCACGCGTTCTAAGATTTAAGACTTTACTAAATAAAACTCATTCAATATTACTTTCTATCTTGTACTAAACAATGTAGTATTTATTGTTATTACTGTTTTCATCCTCAACTGGATCAAGTGGGGTAATCCATTCGATGATGTCGAATTTATGTTCCTGAGCAAGCAGTTTTATAGCTGCTGTTTTGCCACAACCAGAAGGACCAGAAAGGACTAGCATGGAAGGCTGTGCCTTCGAAGTTCTATACCGAAGCCAAACAGAAATTTCATTTTGCTTTTGCTTGCTGATTGCCAAGTCAGAGAGCTTACGTGGCTCACACGCTTCAAGCAGTTTAGATAAACTGGTCTCATGTCTCCGTTGAGATTTATTTTGCGTAAATGACCTGTCCAATATATCATTCTCTAATGCTACTGAACTAGTACGCTTTACCACAGGCTTATTTATGACGGCACTGTCGAATGATGGCACACACCAGCTATTTTTCTAACAAGAAAATAATCGGGAAACAATTATATTAAAATATAATGTATAAAATACTTAATATCATTAATATTCACACAGGATATGACAATGCAAGCTAAAGCTAATTCAGTTAATTAAAATAACATATAATTTACAAATCACAAAATAATATTCACATACAAAACAATAATATAAACTTATTTTCATGTATAAATTGGTCATCTTTATTTTATTTACCAACCCTATATATAATAAATATAATAAATATAATAAATCAGAATTAATTATTGAGTTTTTATGAATATTGTTTTTCAAAAAAACATTTATTGTTTTAAATGAAATGTTTGTTGGCCATTACGTCTTATATGTTACGTTAGTTTGTATTATGTTAATTTAGGTTATGTTACGATATATCCATAGAATTCTCAAAATGATTTTTATACATATATATTTTTTATATGTTAACGTACTTTTGAACATGCCATGATTCTTCTTGATAAATCGTCACATTGTAATAAAATTTTACACTTTTTTATAAATTTGATCGTTCTCTTCTTTAATCTTACTTATCCTTGTGCCAGGATTTTGAGTGTAATGATATACGTCAAAATCGTATATATACTAATATATTTTTTTTTAACAAAAATAAGATTATAACTCATAAGTTTAAAAATAAGTTTTGAAAATAACAAAATATTTATAATATTGCGCGTAAGAAAAGTTATTAACATTTTTTAAATATTTTTATATAGTTAATTTTATTTTTAAATAATTTTTTTTCCATTTTTTGTTTTTGCCTATTTGCCCTTTCGATAATTTTAATCAGGGAGAGAAATATATCAGCATTCTCATATTAATAAAGTTGTTTAAAACAATAATGTAAACTTATTTTCATGTATAAATTGGTCATCTTTATTTTATTTACCAACCCTATGCATGATGTAAAAATATTATTGTCTTTGATTCAACATCTCTGTTATAAGATATAGCTTTTAATACAATGCAAAATCTTAAACTTAAAATATACATAAATAAGTATTAGTTGTCACAGTGATATATAATTTACATATAATTATTTATCTATTTCATTGTAAAATCGGTGATGAAATGAATCGATACTCCCGATTAATTCAATTTTTAAACAAAGATCAAATATTTAATATAGCATCAATAGTGCTAGTCAATATGTAATTGCTATAATGCAATTATGATCAAGTGAACAATGACTGAATATGGATTGATATTTATTAATCATATCTTCTTTCTAATTCTTACTGTGTTTTTATCTTGAATTCTGTTTTCCAATATATTTAATTTCAACACTTCAACAGTTTGAACACTTTCTCTTCGATATAGTTTTGAATGTAGCTGATAATCCAAGAGAGAACTTATTTTTAATAAATTTCAGAACTTCTTTCATCGAACTATTAGTTATGTACTGAATTACATTGGAGAAAAAATATTCAAACCGTTTTGAAATTTAATATATTAACGCTTTTACCGCTCGTTATTCGACCCTATTTGTTTACGTTCGGATTATCTTTTCTCTGAATATCAAATGGCACATACATATCAAAATGACTGTGGTATTTTTCGCATGTATCGCATATTTGAGTCTGACAGTAAAAGGGATGAATCATATACTAAATTGAATCACATAACTATTATTTTATGTTTACTTTTCCAATGTAAAAGTTTATGATGGTAGAAATTTATACAGGATCCGGCATGGATTTAATTTTTCTCATTTTTTTTCACTTATTACTTTTCCTCACATTTTTAGAAAAACTCATTTTTCTCACTTTTTCTAACTCTGGGCTTCTTGATTCCTCGCATGAGTACGATTCAGTTATTAGAAAAAGTGAGAAAAGTGAATTTTTTCCAAAAAAATGAGAAAAAGTATTAAGGGGTCAGGGGTAGTCAGAATTTTCAAAAAATCGATTTTTTTGCATTTTCTTGAAGTATGATGTCTTGAAAATATTACCTGAAAATTTCAAGTCAATCCAACGAATAGTTTTTGAGATATCCTACATTTACTGAAGGGCTTTCTGACCCTCGACGGCAGGTAGCTGGCAGCAGCTGCAAATAACCGGTTTCAACCGGCATAAAGGATTAGGGGTAGTAGTCAGAGGCGTGAAAAAATGAATATTTTAAATAATTTATTTTTGACAGTAAATTTATTTTATAAAACTAATAATACAGAGTTATTATTTATGTTTTAACTTTACTTGACTGAATGATTTTTTTTGTTTCATTGATTTTAGATGAACCAGTAAAATGTTCTGATGGTCACCGCAAAACACTACTTGTGGAACGGCATCCAACAAAGATGGCGATAACTTCATCTACAATTAATATTTTTTTTTTGAAATTTTGGTCAAGTAGAGTTAAAACATAATATAATAACTCTGTATTATTAGTTTTATAAAATAAATTTAATTACTGTCAAAAATAAATTATTTAAAATACTCATTTTTTCACGCCTCTGACTACCCCTAACCCCTTAAATGAAAAAAAGTGAGAAAAATAAATCGAATCTATGTTTGTTTATATTGCAAGATTAAAAATAAAATGCGGATACTGCTTAACATTGCTGTAAATTTCTCAAACATCACATAAAATGTAATCGCAATATGTTGATATGTATGTTAATTATACATTCATGAATTAATAGTGCCTAGAATATAATCAACATAATTATCTTTAAACGAAACATGAAACTTGGAGAAAGAGCCTCGTACATGAAATTCAATGATCACGGAATTCTCCTACAGTATTGAACAACACGATAACAATTATTTATACACCGCGATTATGCTATTTTTGTAAAAAAATAATATATTCATCATATAAGCCTTTATTTAGTTTCATGCATTATGAGCAAGAAATAGTAAACTACAATGAGAAGTAGCACTTGAATGAAGTCTTTTATGTAATTGTATCATCGTCAAAGCTTATGGCGTCGCGATATTACCAGGACTAACTCGGTACTTCGCTCATCGTTTTAAAAGATTGCGAGAAAATCACATGTTAGAAAATAAGTTAAGCTGATTTGTCTTATCGTTCAAGTAAAAAACTTATTAATTTCATTTAAAAAAATATTGAACTTTTTTCGTAAGAGCAACAAAATTAAAAACACATTACATATATTTTTTATACAAATTTATACATCTTCTGTCTAATATAAAATCAAGTTTTCTAAACAAATTTTTGATATTAAACCATATTTAAACAATTAACTATACATAATGATCGAAATGTACGACTAGGTGTAGGAATTGCGAAAGGGATTACGTGAATAATGCCAGTACTGATTATCGCGCGATAATTCAACTATAGTTCTTTCATCCACTAGGATGAAAAGTCAAGTGGCTTCGTGAAACGTGTGATTACTGTCGATCGACCTGGCGTTCTGACAAATTGAATTGAATTCAATTTTCAGATTTTGACGGAAATTGTGCTTCTCTATGCCTCGAGTTACTGCTCAGCTCCAGACGTCACTGGAATATCGTTTCTGTGAGTCCATCTTTTTAATATAATCCATAGCATCGAGTTCTGACATGTTTCCTCGTTCCATCACCACCTTGAGTAATATATTATGCACGTCGCGCGCCATATTTCTCGCATCTCTGAAGAGAAGATAAAAATATTTTAGAAACGAAGAAATGGAATTCGAAAAATGATTATATATTGCAGCGGAAAGATCATAAATTGCGACTAACCCGCAAATGTAAATGTGTCCGTTTTGTTCGCCGATCACTCGCCATATTTCTTCCTTGTTCTTCTCGAGCAAGTGTGTGACGTAAACTTTCTGAGGTTGTTCTCGGCTAAAGGCAGTGTGTAACGTTAACGTTCCGTTCTCTACATATTGTGCCAACTCATCGTGATATAGAAAATCTTCCTTGCTTCTTCTGCAGCCGAAGTAGAGTATCGTGTCGCCTACTTCTTTACCTGAGGAAGTAGACATTGAGGACATTGGTGTTTCGCATCACAAAATCAAGAACGTCGTAGCGTGAGATAATGAAAATCTATACATTTTTTTTACATGCCTCGCATATTATGTAATCAGTTTCTTACCTTCCTTCCTCGCCAAGTCGCGTTCTTGTATGAAGCCTCTGAATGGTGCTAAACCAGTGCCTGGTCCGACCATAATGATAGGAGTGGAGGTACGTATGGGCAAACGGAATTGAGACTTCCTTACAAAGATCGGGACGAGGCAAGGTGGATCGGAGGGATGTTTTTCCTTTAACCAGCTGGTCGTGACGCCCTTGTTTATCCTACCAGTCGGAGTCTTGTACTCTACTACCACTGCCGTGATGTGGATCGAGGTCGGATGAAGCTACGAGGTGAGAATTGTTGTTTTCATAAAGTCTAGTCGAGACGATCATTTTCTGAGGGAAATCTCATTTTCAGATTCAGCTAAGTACCTTCGGGGATGAGGATATGGAGTAGTATCGGCATTGTAATCGCGGCAGGATTTCGCAGAGATGATCCAAAGGTGGCTTCAAGCTGGGAATGTCCTCCAGGATATGCACGATATTGCGATTCTCTTGAACTATCCACTGTTGATAAGCTGCCTTGCCTTCTACAGTGGTGGACGCCATCAATTTGAGTTTCTCCTTGTCCGTGGGTTCAGTAGCATACTCGGCCAATTCCTTGAGGATATGTGTACGTGGGTTGCTAGTGATGTCCAAATAATGTGTCAACGCTGTCCTGTAGCTGCAAGGACAAGGGAACGGATGCTTCTTCGAAGACTCCTCTGCCAAGGAAGCGGCGAATTAGTCGAAGGCAAAACAGTAAACGGATAATAACGGTAACAAAGCAAACTTACCGTCCGTATTTGTAAGGGTGATGACAGTGTCCAAGTCGACGTCACACTGTTCGCCGATTTTATTAACCAGTTCCGCATTGTTAACAGNATTTACAGGAATATATTGAGGCAAAAGCGCGTGTTTCCTGTATCTTGAGCCGTTTAGGAGATACCGAAGGTTACATTTTTAAAATTTTAGTTAATTTTAATTGAAATTTGAATTTAAATGTTCATATCTCCGCTTCTACTGGGAATTGAGAGTCGAGATTTATGGTGAGAATAGGGTTGATACAGGACTATATTGAGGCAAAAGCGCGTTCCTGTATCTTGAGCCGTTTAGGAGATACCGAAGGTTACATTTTTAAATTTTAAGTTAATTTTAATTGAAATTTGAATTTAAATGTTCATATCTCCGCTTCTACTGGGAATTGAGAGTCGAGATTTATGGTGAGAATAGGGTTGATACAGGACTATATTGAGGCAAAAGCGCGTTCCTGTATCTTGAGCCGTTTAGGAGATACCGAAGGTTACATTTTTAAATTTTAAGTTAATTTTAATTGAAATTTGAATTTAAATGTTCATATCTCCGCTTCTACTGGGAATTGAGAGTCGAGATTTATGGTGAGAATAGGGTTGATACAGGACTATATTGAGGCAAAAGCGCGTTCCTGTATCTTGAGCCGTTTAGGAGATACCGAAGGTTACATTTTTAAATTTTAAGTTAATTTTAATTGAAATTTGAATTTAAATGTTCATATCTCCGCTTCTACTGGGAATTGAGAGTCGAGATTTATGGTGAGAATAGGGTTGATACAGGACTATATTGAGGCAAAAGCGCGTTCCTGTATCTTGAGCCGTTTAGGAGATACCGAAGGTTACATTTTTAAATTTTAAGTTAATTTTAATTGAAATTTGAATTTAAATGTTCATATCTTCGCTTCTACTGGGAATTGAGAGTCGAGATTTATGGTGAGAATAGGGTTGATACAGGACTATATTGAGGCAAAAGCGCGTTCCTGTATCTTGAGCCGTTTAGGAGATACCGAAGGTTACATTTTTAAATTTTAAGTTAATTTTAATTGAAATTTGAATTTAAATGTTCATATCTCCGCTTCTACTGGGAATTGAGAGTCGAAATTTATGGTGGAGATAGGGTTGATACAGGACTATATTGAGGCAAAAGCGCGTTCCTGTATCTTGAGCCGTTTAGGAGATACGAAGGTTACATTTTTAAATTTTAAGTTAATTTTAATTGAAATTTGAATTTAAATGTTCATATCTCCGCTTCTACTGGGAATTGAGAGTCGAAATTTATGGTGAGAATAGGGTTGATACAGGACTATATTGAGGCAAAAGCGCGTTCCTGTATCTTGAGCCGTTTAGGAGATACCGAAGGTTACATTTTTAAATTTTAAGTTAATTTTAATTGAAATTTGAATTTAAATGTTCATATCTCCGCTTCTACTGGGAATTGAGAGTCGAATTTATGGTGAGAATAGGGTTGATACAGGACTATATTGAGGCAAAAGCGCGTTCCTGTATCTTGAGCCGTTTAGGAGATACCGAAGGTTACATTTTTAAATTTTAAGTTAATTTTAATTGAAATTTGAATTTAAATGTTCATATCTCCGCTTCTACTGGGAATTGAGAGTCGAGATTTATGGTGAGAATAGGGTTGATACAGGACTATATTGAGGCAAAAGCGCGTTCCTGTATCTTGAGCCGTTTAGGAGATACCGAAGGTTACATTTTTAAATTTTAAGTTAATTTTAATTGAAATTTGAATTTAAATGTTCATATCTCCGCTTCTACTGGGAATTGAGAGTCGAATTTATGGTGAGAATAGGGTTGATACAGGACTATATTGAGGCAAAAGCGCGTTCCTGTATCTTGAGCCGTTTAGGAGATACCGAAGGTTACATTTTTAAATTTTAAGTTAATTTTAATTGAAATTTGAATTTAAATGTTCATATCTCCGCTTCTACTGGGAATTGAGAGTCGAGATTTATGGTGAGAATAGGGTTGATACAGGACTATATTGAGGCAAAAGCGCGTTCCTGTATCTTGAGCCGTTTAGGAGATACCGAAGGTTACATTTTTAAATTTTAAGTTAATTTTAATTGAAATTTGAATTTAAATGTTCATATCTCCGCTTCTACTGGGAATTGAGAGTCGAGATTTATGGTGAGAATAGGGTTGATACAGGACTATATTGAGGCAAAAGCGCGTTCCTGTATCTTGAGCCGTTTAGGAGATACCGAAGGTTACATTTTTAAATTTTAAGTTAATTTTAATTGAAATTTGAATTTAAATGTTCATATCTCCGCTTCTACTGGGAATTGAGAGTCGAAATTTATGGTGGGAATAGGGTTGATACAGGACTATATTGAGGCAAAAGCGCGTTCCTGTATCTTGAGCCGTTTAGGAGATACCGAAGGTTACATTTTTAAATTTTAAGTTAATTTTAATTGAAATTTGAATTTAAATGTTCATATCTCCGCTTCTACTGGGAATTGAGAGTCGAAATTTATGGTGGAATAGGGTTGATACAGGACTATATTGAGGCAAAAGCGCGTTCCTGTATCTTGAGCCGTTTAGGAGATACCGAAGGTTACATTTTTAAATTTTAAGTTAATTTTAATTGAAATTTGAATTTAAATGTTCATATCTCCGCTTCTACTGGGAATTGAGAGTCGAGATTTATGGTGAGAATAGGGTTGATACAGGACTATATTGAGGCAAAAGCGCGTTCCTGTATCTTGAGCCGTTTAGGAGATACCGAAGGTTACATTTTTAAATTTTAAGTTAATTTTAATTGAAATTTGAATTTAAATGTTCATATCTCCGCTTCTACTGGGAATTGAGAGTCGAGATTTATGGTGAGAATAGGGTTGATACAGGACTATATTGAGGCAAAAGCGCGTTCCTGTATCTTGAGCCGTTTAGGAGATACCGAAGGTTACATTTTTAAATTTTAAGTTAATTTTAATTGAAATTTGAATTTAAATGTTCATATCTCCGCTTCTACTGGGAATTGAGAGTCGAGATTTATGGTGAGAATAGGGTTGATACAGGACTATATTGAGGCAAAAGCGCGTTCCTGTATCTTGAGCCGTTTAGGAGATACCGAAGGTTACATTTTTAAATTTTAAGTTAATTTTAATTGAAATTTGAATTTAAATGTTCATATCTCCGCTTCTACTGGGAATTGAGAGTCGAAATTTATGGTGGGAATAGGGTTGATACAGGACTATATTGAGGCAAAAGCGCGTTCCTGTATCTTGAGCCGTTTAGGAGATACCGAAGGTTACATTTTTAATTTTACGTTAATTTTAATTGAAATTTGAATTTAAATGTTCATATCTCCGCTTCTACTGGGAATTGAGAGTCGAATTTATGGTGAGAATAGGGTTGATACAGGACTATATTGAGGCAAAAGCGCGTTCCTGTATCTTGAGCCGTTTAGGAGATACCGAAGGTTACATTTTTTAATTTTAAGTTAATTTTAATTGAAATTTGAATTTAAATGTTCATATCTCCGCTTCTACTGGGAATTGAGAGTCGAGATTTATGGTGAGAATAGGGTTGATACAGGACTATATTGAGGCAAAAGCGCGTTCCTGTATCTTGAGCCGTTTAGGAGATACCGAAGGTTACATTTTTAAATTTTAAGTTAATTTTAATTGAAATTTGAATTTAAATGTTCATATCTCCGCTTCTACTGGGAATTGAGAGTCGAGATTTATGGTGAGAATAGGGTTGATACAGGACTATATTGAGGCAAAAGCGCGTTCCTGTATCTTGAGCCGTTTAGGAGATACCGAAGGTTACATTTTTAAATTTTAAGTTAATTTTAATTGAAATTTGAATTTAAATGTTCATATCTCCGCTTCTACTGGGAATTGAGAGTCGAAATTTATGGTGGAATAGGGTTGATACAGGACTATATTGAGGCAAAAGCGCGTTCCTGTATCTTGAGCCGTTTAGGAGATACCGAAGGTTACATTTTTTAATTTTAAGTTAATTTTAATTGAAATTTGAATTTAAATGTTCATATCTCCGCTTCTACTGGGAATTGAGAGTCGAGATTTATGGTGAGAATAGGGTTGATACAGGACTATATTGAGGCAAAAGCGCGTTCCTGTATCTTGAGCCGTTTAGGAGATACCGAAGGTTACATTTTTAAATTTTAAGTTAATTTTAATTGAAATTTGAATTTAAATGTTCATATCTCCGCTTCTACTGGGAATTGAGAGTCGAGATTTATGGTGAGAATAGGGTTGATACAGGACTATATTGAGGCAAAAGCGCGTTCCTGTATCTTGAGCCGTTTAGGAGATACCGAAGGTTACATTTTTAAATTTTAAGTTAATTTTAATTGAAATTTGAATTTAAATGTTCATATCTCCGCTTCTACTGGGAATTGAGAGTCGAGATTTATGGTTGATACAGGACTATATTGAGGCAAAAGCGCGTTCCTGTATCTTGAGCCGTTTAGGAGATACCGAAGGTTACATTTTTAAATTTTAAGTTAATTTTAATTGAAATTTGAATTTAAATGTTCATATCTCCGCTTCTACTGGGAATTGAGAGTCGAATTTATGGTGAGAATAGGGTTGATACAGGACTATATTGAGGCAAAAGCGCGTTCCTGTATCTTGAGCCGTTTAGGAGATACCGAAGGTTACATTTTTAAATTTTAAGTTAATTTTAATTGAAATTTGAATTTAAATGTTCATATCTCCGCTTCTACTGGGAATTGAGAGTCGAATTTATGGTGAGAATAGGGTTGATACAGGACTATATTGAGGCAAAAGCGCGTTCCTGTATCTTGAGCCGTTTAGGAGATACCGAAGGTTACATTTTTAAATTTTAAGTTAATTTTAATTGAAATTTGAATTTAAATGTTCATATCTCCGCTTCTACTGGGAATTGAGAGTCGAAATTTATGGTGAGATAGGGTTGATACAGGACTATATTGAGGCAAAAGCGCGTTCCTGTATCTTGAGCCGTTTAGGAGATACCGAAGGTTACATTTTTAAATTTTAAGTTAATTTTAATTGAAATTTGAATTTAAATGTTCATATCTCCGCTTCTACTGGGAATTGAGAGTCGAAATTT